GTGTGTGCGCGCGAGTGTGTGAGTGTGTGTGTGTGTGTTTTTCGTTTTTGTTTGTGGTAATATATATGACCTTTAGCAAAATGACCCAAAAGAGTAGCGACAACACAGCCACCCAACTAGAACTGACTTTACTATTGTAACTCTTGAGGTCTGGTTATCTACATTTTGGTTTGACAAAGTACATGGGAATTTTACTCATGGTCATGTTGTCAGCCGAGTCTAGATGGGAATATTCTAGAATGTTGACATTTTTATGATGATTTAAATTAATCAATTAATATTTTCAAAGAACCTAAACTCATAACGCCTGATTTACTGCCCCGATGGCCCACACCACAGACCAAAGCCACAGTAATTAGACTAAAATGCATTCGGGACGTCAAGAACATCGTTGCCATCAGTTCCAAGATCAGACCAATGCATTCCTTGGTCATGTCCATATTTTTATATTATGCATTTTAATGAAACGTGGAACATAACAGCGGACATCAACAGAAAGATCTAAAGGACAAAAATAAGCTGTTTATGCACACCGCTCGGCACCTCGTACAGAGATGACATAACCAATGAGGTACATTATACTGAGAACAAAACATTGGAAATGTCGTCGGGCGGTATGAAGATCTGTTGACTTCAATGGAAAAAAAAACCCAAGCTGAAGTGGTACGGGCACATCACACGATCTTCAGGACTAGCCAAGACTATTGTAGGCCTACATGGAACAGTACAAGGAGAGAGGCAATGAGGCAGTCAGAGGAAACAATGGGAAGGCTAAAAGGGGTTGGCCGTGGCTGGAGCACCTTAATTCGGAAAGCTGAGAACCGAGAGGAATGGAAGAAGCTGGTTGCCAAATCTGTAGCGGTGCCGCAACGGTCAGCCAGACAACGGGATAGGCGAAGGTGACAGTGAAACTTTTGAATTATTTTGGTCAACAGAAGTAAAAGCTTCGTCAAAGGACTCTGAAGCCACACTAGGCTAGTTACAACTTATGTTGTTTGGTTGTTGTTTTTTGTTTG